AAAAGAACATTGAAAAGAGATTTGTTCCAGGTAATTTGGTGAGATAGCTTTGGAAACTGATGACATTTGGAACAAGTTATTGGTGTTTTCGCACGTGACTAGAACTTTTGTCCATGGTCCTATTACGAAACTCTGTGACGCAGACGAGGGAGTGGAGGCCGCCAAAGCATCGAAACGTGAAAAAACGTATGGCGAGCCAGGAAACGGGATTTTTCAAGGAGGGGACTCCGGGTGGGTGAGCTACTTATAGTCGGTGAAAAGCTGGAGTGAGCGTCACAACGGCCATAGAGTGCCATGCGGACGAGAGAGTGCAGAGAAAAAGAGAAGATCGACGCGTTCAAAGGGATTGAGTTCAAGTTGTCCGTAGACCGCACTCGCTATTTTTGTCGTTCACTTGAGCTTCTTTTCAATACTGTGCGGCAATCGCCGCTGATGCCGGCAAATATATCTTGCTAGTGGAAAGAGAAGGAATAGTTATAATCCTTGGTTGAGAAAATGAGAAGAACAAAAAGAAACGCCTACCGACTGCAATGGATTTTTCCGTCCTCTATAGCATTAGCGATTATAGGCTTTGAGTTCTCGATATTCCAACCGATGACGTCGTTCAACTTGACGACTGCTCGTGCATTCGGACAAGTGACTGCAACGTATCGAAACGCGGCAATGCTCTACAACTTCTTTTCATCAACCTCTCGTTTCACGTCAAAATGAAATACCATGCATAACCAAAATTTGTCCATGTGTACGCGAGCATTCTTCTGTACTCTATTAAGAACTCACCTTTAAAGTGAGATTTCGGTATGCGTCGATGAAATCGCTTTGCAAAATATCGCCATAAATCGATGCTTCGTAATTTACTGCATCATTACCTGACAGCGTTTTAGCTTGTCCAACAGCAAATATAACAGCATATCCGAACTGAAAACACCTGTTTCTTATTCGACTTGGACTACTATATTTTATCAGCTTCTATCTTCCAGCTTAACCACGTACCAACCACTAGGCATGTTATGTTTTCCTCGCATATTACACCCCTGCCCTTATCGTCACTGATGATCGGAGAAATTCCTCCTAATGGAGGTGTTCTTACTTAGTTGGTCGAAGCTTGTTTATCTTTCACATCGCGGTGGACTAGATCACGCGATGCGACCCCTGCACGCGATGGTGCTACGGTCGTGTTGGATTGTCTGCTTCAAACCCCGTCGTACCATCTGGATGTACTCACTTACTAAGGAGCTTCATTCGCAGTGACTCTTGGACCGAACAAGCCCAAAGAGAAGTTTTTATCTCCCTTGAGTTGACCCTAGCCTTCCTTAATGAGTCGTACGAAAGCCCTCTCAAATTTGAATGGTGCGACGAGCAACATACTTCGGGAAATCTCGGCTGGAATCATTAGAATCTATTCCTGAAGATAAACTGTAAAGCG